CGGACTTTGTCCAGTACCAAATGAACCCTAATTGCTGTCATTTTCAGCTGGCGATACTGCGCTGCACATGGCTGTCTCTTCTGGTCGTGTAGCTGTTGTGCGCAAACTCCTAGAACTTGGGGCATCACCGACAATTCGCGACAATACTAATTCCACCTGCCTTCATCTTGCTGCTCGTGCCTGTGCACCGTCTATGGTAGCGGCACTTTTGGAAAAAGAAGAAATGCGCTTAGATGTGCGTTATGATCTGAAAGTATACTGGTTCTTACCAAGCTGGATACTAAGCCTTCCAACTTCAGGTGGATGCTCTCGATGACGATAACAGGACAGCATTGATGCTAGTGGCTATGTATGACATGGTGGACACGAAGATTGCTGAAATGCTATGTGATGCCGGAGCACAAGTGAATTGTGATGGAGACAACGTATGTAATTCGTGTAAGCGGATGTGAAGAAAATGGAGAGACAATTAGTCAGCTGATGCGTTGAAATGCGTCCCACTTCCCATGAAAGGCATTGCCATGCGAGAGATTACTCGGGTTGGTCGGGACCGTTCCCACAAGCCATGAAAATAAGGTGCCACTGCTCAGCCACATCATTACCATAGCTTTTCGTATAACTTATATGATGAATGACTGGTAGTCGCAAGTACGAAGGTCGAAGCTTCGACCTTTGTCCCTTTTCGGAGTGCGCCACAAATCCTATTCCCGTTCAAAATTATAATGACACTTTCAATTCAATTAGATTCATACAGTGAATTGCGAGGGCTAGCCAATCTACAGAATATACTGTCATGTCAGGTACAATCAGAGACAAACTGTATACCCACCTCTGAAGATGTTCCTTGCAATGTGCGAAGCGAATGGTTCCGCAGCTGCCGGAAGTTAGCTGTAGGCTACTGGCACCCGGTTGCCGTATCCGTATCGCTCGCGCTGTCCCCAATGTGTAGGACATGCGTCGGCGCCAAGGTCAGCCTACAAAACACGTATTCAGAGGTAGAGAACAACCAGATGTGAGAGGCCGCAGATAAGTAGCGTTACGGATGGCCGTGCAGCAGTGCGAGGCGGAGTATGGAGTTGGCACCAGGGTATCACTGCCCTGCAGCTCCGTTTCTTTGCACAGTTAAGAGGAGAAGGTAGCTCGCTTTTGCAGCTGCGGATCCAATCCCCCCCCCCCACAGGACTAGGATCCACGGTGGTGAGTGTACAGTTTGTCTTCAAGTGATCGCGGGTTGGAAGGCTTGGTTGACTCCGGGCCGATATGATGTTTGACCTCTGACTGCGCCGTGAGTGGCGCTGCTTGTCACTTCTCCACCTTCGCTTTTTCTGCCTTTTGCTTGCAACATGCTAAATGAATGCTTGAAGAACTATTATAGGCGAATTTCAGGCTTTCGTTCGGGAGTAAGTACTACAAGTACGTATCCAATTTCTTCCCGGGTAGTCGACATAAAGACCATTTGTCCTGTCCGTATGTCTTGATGCACACACGGAAAGGCAGGATTACATCTACTCTCCTCATTGGTGCCCTTTCTACGCCACTTTTCTGTGTAAACATTCTAACTTGCTTTAGCAAACTAGAGATGCCATACTTGATTGGTAGGGGTCATGCGAAAGCATTCGCTTAGACAAGCCGAACAGCTTCATCTTCCCATATTCGATGAATTGACTCGAAACTAGTAGTGGCAGTTAAGCCATCTGCCATCAGAATGTTTGCCTAGGAAAGAATACGTCCTACATTCTGCATTTCAAAGTGAAATTGGAATGCGCATCTCACAAAGCTTCCATTTTTCCTCAGCACCAGGTCCCTACATGTTGCTTTCTCATAAGGAGTCTTGGTTTTCAGAGTTTGACGACATGGAGAGGAAGAACAGCACTTCATTTTGCTGCAAAGTACAATAACCCTCGAGTGGTAGCCTTTCTGTTAGAGAAGAATGCGAACAAGGACTGTCAGGATTATGAGGTTGGCGAACACTTTTTATTCACGACTTGCTTTACTTGCAATCGACAAGTTTTTAGTGTTGTACTCCTTTGCATTTGGCTGCATCGGAAAACCATGTGGAACCTGCGAAAGAGCTTCTGAAAGTCGGTGCAAGTGTGATGCTGAGGAATGATAAGGTTAGTGACTGAGATTTGTTATGATTTTGTTATTAGGCAGTGTTACCATTCGAAATTTGACCTCCGGTAGTTGAAGATATTGGAGGCTGGGTTTGTCGCGGCTCCAACCAGTATTCCACCGATTGTGTAAGCTCGGCAAGCGACTACAGTTGGTGGGAAACGGGCTCGTACCGCGCCAAACCCTACTACCTGACACGCCCCAGCATCCGCAGCGAACAAGCTGTAGCTGTGGGAGAACAGCGCGGTGTTCTCCTTCAGCAAGCTCATTCCTATAAGACGTCTGTGCTATCTCATTTCTGGCCACCTCTCTGAAAACTCGCATTTCTGGCCTCCTCATTGAACAGTTGACATTTATAAGAACCCCCACTATTTTCTTCAGTATCTTGTTCTAACTACGTGAGATCAGTGACCTGTGTGTGGAAGCACTCTAAAGCATTTTCTTCCTAATTTGTTGTATTCAGTATCAAACGCCCTATGATACGGCACTCGTGAACAACAGCAAAGATGTTGCGGCATTGCTTGTCTCCGGTGATAACCTTCGCGTCCAGCTGTATTCAAACAATGGAGAAATATTTGCTTCTTCCTCTTCACCAAGCTTCAAGGTAGGTTTATAGGGTTTATTGAACACTTCACCTTTTTCACTCAAGAAATTGCCTTTGCATTGAACTTCACTTTTCTTGTTTAGTGCGCCAAAGTGTTGATGGCAAGACATATGCGGAACTCTCGTGGTCCTCATTCCTCCATGAATTCGCCGAAATCCACTCAGTCGACACCGACGCGATGCTCGGTTTCCTCTCCTTACAATCACTCCAGTACCCCTCATTCCGTAGCGGCGTTCGGGTCGAAAAAAAAAGAACTTACTCGTCACCTCAGTATCCAAATCCCGTCACGAATCTCATGGAAGGTTCCCTTCCGTCTCCACTCTGTTTCCAGTCATCAGGGTATTCCACCCGTGCTCAGCCGTTATTATGGAAACGTCGCCACGACCGCCTGATGAAATATCATCGTCCACCATTTGCACTGAACGAGGAATTTTTATTCGCAGCCTCAAGAGAGAAACGGTAGTTAAACAACCACATTAGAGATCATGATTAAAGAGGCTTTATTACGCTTTCCATGCTCAGGTTCTCGCTTCTCCTGGATTCTTTGACTCTGGCCTCGCAACGATGACAGATCGCAGCTCTTACGATCACAGTGGTCCATGGTCAGGTAATGAAGGATTCTCCAAATTGAAAGAACGGATCGAATCAGCACACGAATGGGTAATCTGCAGCGATGGATACATTGTTTAATAATCTGCCAGGTCAATTTCCTGTTGAAAGGTTTCTAGAGGCAACTAAAAATTTGCTTCGCATGTATATTTTGCACCAATTCTTGAGACCATGAGACGGATCCGATTTGTATTGTTATTTTGGTACTTTTAAATGTATTTTTATTATAGGCTTATTATTCAATTTATCCCTGTGATTATTGTATATAGTGTTGTTTAATCATTCATTTATTTTGCGATAAACATTCTTGCAAGGTCCTTTCTGATGTTTTTTTCGAATCTTACTTTCCACTTGTTGCCCTCTTTGATAAAAAGTGAGTTTAAATGATGCATTTCCCTAAAATGAAGGGAAGAAGACTTAATTAGACGGTGTGATTCGAGCTCAGGGCACATCGTTGTTGGGGAATTCCCCAACGGGAGGGGGGGCGGTCTATCGGCCGCCCAGGAGCGGGGGGGGAGGTCGTATTCACTTTTTGGCCTTTCTAGGAGTGGTGGTAGACTTTTCGTGATTTTCTCCTGTTTCATGCGTTGGGGAAAATCTGGAAGTTGGTAGAAGGAGGGTCGTGATGTCTCTGGCAGCTTTTCTCCTGTTTCCTCCTCTGTTTCCTCTCCCCCCCCCCTCCGCTCGACTGCTCGATTCAATCTCGATTCGATGAGGAGGGGAAGGTCATACCGAACCCAAAAAGGGGGAGGGATCGTACGGATTCGACCAAAATCCCCAACCAAGTGATGTGCTCTGTTCGAGCTTTCGACTGCTTGTTTCAGGTCAAAACTTCTATGGTGTGCTGTGTTTGCAAAAAAGCAGATGCTCATGCCTGCATTTTCACCCTCCCAAGCAAATGTGGTACCGTTTAATCGGCATTCGATCACATGATTCAGTTGACCTGAGTGAGGATCGATCCTGTGAAAAGTGGATCTTCGCAGACACGATTTGGCGCCTCGACCCACCATGCCTCCTCATCAAGATTTCCGGAAACAAAATCTAGTTGAGAAACTTCTGGAGCTCTGATTCAATGCCTGCAGAAAGCTCATTATCGTACAGTGGTCGTGGGGAGCTTGTAAAATCCACAGAAAAAAATACCGCCTATGGAATGTGTTTCTACAGCTGTACGCATAGAGTAATGAGGTAAATCGGAGCTATTCATTCACATGGTGCACAGGTACCAATCCCCGCAATTTGAAAACCTATCAAACGAAGGCGACTGGGATACACGCTCAAAAGCGAGCTGTACATTCTTGTAAAATGACCCCAATGGCCCCATGCGCGGTGATTTGGGTCTGCAACTACAGTGGCGTACCACTTTCTTTCGTTCGTAGTACACCAGAACGGGACTGCAGGGTGAAGGTACCCGTGTGCCGTCTCCGTACTCTGCCCGCGCTGTCCTCAATGAGCAGCACTTGCTTCGGGGAGACGGACAAGAGAATCGTAATTTGCCGCTCCGCCGCGCGCGGCGATGGGCGCGGCGTTTTCTTAACTCGTGTTAACCTGTCGACTGGAGCACCGGACTTCATGTAGACCCCGTCATCGTAGACATTCATGACTATTTTCGGTTCTGAATTGCCTGTTGTCGCCATCTACTACCTGGAACCATCGTCATTTGCGGGCGCGACGTCGCACGCGACGCCCACCAGCGCGGCGAATTACGATTCTCTTGTCACATACCCCTTGCTTCGATAGCAAGGTTCCGCACAGAAATTCAGCGGTATAGAGCAACCCAGAACTGACAAGGCGCAGACAAGTAGCGCGTTTGGTTGAGGTTAGCCACATCGGTTTAAATAAACGGTTTAAATAGTTTTAGAGGTCTGCTTGAGGCTACCCATTTCCATGCTCCGCCAGCGTTGCTGCACAGCCAGTCACCATGTGGCTGGCTGTGCAGCAACGCTGACGGAGCATGGAAATCCGGGGAATCACTACCCGTAGAAGGTGGCACTTAATGCAGCTGCGAACCCATTTACCTCACACATTGCAAGGACCAGGATCTATGGAGGTGAGTGTACAATTTGTCCTTGGCTACCATCATCTGAAGGGTAGAGCCACGAAGCAAATCGTGAACTATAACGGAGTAGTTCGAATTCCTAGACAATTAGTGCCTTTGACCAGAGTGGCACTTTTCAGAAGGAACCTGTACGGAGATTGCCTCAACCTTCAAAATCATGTAGGCAGCCTCAGACCTCAGGGCGATACTATAAGTCATCTTGGGCG